TGAAACAAGTTATATGAATTGTTGAATGTGAAACTGATGATGTGCCCTGTAAACTTTCACTCAATCCACAATAAAAACCTTAACTTTAAAAAAAAAAAAAATTGTATCCTACTTAAAACAGACTGAAGCATTGAGCAGATACAAGAGTTAACTTTAAGACTGTGGACATCAAATCAACTATTTTCACTAATATCTCACACATTCACATCTAGGCTTTTGAAATAAAACTATGCAGTGGTGAACTAGGTATACAAAGCAACCACACAATTTTACTGTTGTTGTTAAGGTGCCATCAAGTCAGTACTGACTCATAGCAATCCTACGCACAATAGAACGACACACTGCTCAATCCTGGGCCAACTTCACAATTGTTGCCACGTTTGAGCCCACTGATGCTGTCAACTTTGTCAATCCATCTCACTGGGGGTCTTCGTCTTTTTCTGCAGTACCCAGAATTATCAATTTTTCACAAAGACCACATGTGATCAGGAAAGCTGAGTAATTTAACTATGAAGACCTTTCAACATCATTATTTATATTCCACCAAGTATGGCTATAAGAAGTACAAGAATGCAACATTCATTTAATTTTAAAGGAAACAAATAGCAGACTTCCTACAATACTTAGATTTGTAGGCATAAACTTGTGGCTATGTGCTTTGAGTATGATTAACACTATATAGGTAACAATTGCTTCTTTTTAATCATCTTTTCCTTGTTGATGCAATTTTTGAGGTCCTAATTTTCTTAGCATTTTTGTTTTTTAATCCAAGAATATAAATGTCAATTTTGAATATGTTAAACTAAAATGACAACTTTTAATTTGGAAGCATTGCAATGAATGTTTTAACTTTTAAACAATGTACATAAAGCAAAAATGAAAAGATGTAAATTGAATTCTGCATATACTCTATTTGCCTTTTAACTTTTTTTTTCATGATTTGTAACAAAATTACCTGCATATTGACTCTTTCGATCACACAAGAAAGGACATGCAAGACATGCATCTTCGTGTCACATTCTGTAACTTGCTGTAGTAACTTAAAAAGTAGTGTGAACATGGTTTCCAAATACTGCAGAAAGGAAATAAAAGGATCCAAATTGATAAGTAACGAACTCTATATACACGCAGACAGAAATTTTTTTAAAATTTTAAATTAAAAGAATTAAAAAAATACTCAGAAAGCCAAAACCTAACCAACTTCTAAGTGTTCAAACTGCCAATATGTAACAATGATTTTTCTTTATAGACTGCTGTAAACGTAGAGAAAACTGTGTCGAAACTGTGTGTGTTTCAACTGTATGTTGTTGTTGTTATGTGCCGCGGAGTCGGTTCCGACTCATAGCGACCATGCACAGGGTTTCCGAGGCTGTTAATCTTTACGGGAGCAGCTGGTAGTTTCGAACTGCTGACCTTGCGGTTCGCAGCCCAATTCGTAACCACTATGCTACCAGAGCTCCTTTGTATACTGCTAACTAAACTGCTAACACAGTGCCATCTCATTAATCTTCAGCATATGCCTGATGTCAATCACAAAATGTTTGGTTTTGCCAGGCATGATTTATTAAAGCAAAAAGAACACCAATTATTGCACTCGCATACCAGCTGTCTATGTGGTTTTTTACATATGCTGCTTGAAACATAAATTTATATAGATTATACACTTGTTTTTCTAAGAATGACAGCTATCTGTTATTAGGAAATAAAAAACAAATAGTCTATGTCTGGATTTTAACTGCAGCAATATGGTTATTATGTTGCTACACACTTATATATAAACAAACATTTATTCTTCCAGATATTTGGTTCAGTGTTCTAAAACACACTTCTTCATCCAAAATAACAACTTATTTCTTTATTAAAGAAAAATCACTGCTCTGTAAGTTTTTACATCTATGACCCCATACAAGAAATAGACATTTTATCATATTAACTTACTTCTTATCTAGTTCTCTTTTTAAAAACACACAAACAAAACCACATTAAGCAGAATTATACTGGCATATTTTAACAAGTGTTTACCAAGTACAAAGTATGCGAACACACAATGCTAAGTACTGGGAGTATGTTGTTGTTTCATTGTTATGTACCATCAAATCAGTTCTATCTCAAAGCGACCCTGCATACGGTTTCAATAATACTTAACATTAGTTTTTTACTACTTAGGTTACCCTTCTGTATTGCTACTGGTAAGTACTGTCAAGTCATTTCTGACTCATAGTGACCCTGTATAAAGTTTCGAAGGAGCAGCTGGGGTGTTTGAACTGCAGACCTATCAGTTAGCAGTCCATTGCTTATCCTACAGTGCCAAACCAAGACTCCACAGCGGGTATTGTTGTTATTGTTACGTGCCGTGAAGTCGGTTCCTACTCATAGCAATCCTGTAGAGGGTTTCTGTGAATCTTTACGGGAGCAGAAAGCCTCATCTTTCTCCCACGGAACAGCTGGTAGTTTCAAACTGCTGACCTTGCGGTTCGCAGACCGATTTGTAACCACTATGCTACCAGAGCTCCTTCCATAGGGAGTATAGGGAAAAATAAAAAGATTAAGACTTGTTAGTCTACTCTTCAAGTAATTTGAAATCTAGTTTGCAAAGCAATATATATACATAAATGATACAGGAGAGTGTAGTGCTGCAGGATAAGCACTGGACTGTAAACCACAAGGTTGGAGGTTCCAAGTCACTCCTTGGAAACCCAACACAGGGTTACTGTGAGTCAGAACTGACCTGACAGCGCTTAACAACAATATAAGAATGTTACCTGAGGAGTAAAAAAGTAATGCTGTTGTTACTAATTGTTGTTGAGTTGCTTCCAATTCACAGTGACCCTGTATATAGTGTGTGAAACTGTACATCTTTGTGGGAGCAGAAGGCTTTATCTTTCTAATGCAACGTGGATAGTGGGCTGGAAGCACCAATTTGTGGATTGCAGACCAGTGTTCATTCTACAGAGGCACCAAACCCCAAAAAAAGTAATAGACATACATGAAAATACTAGACGTTTTAGAATTGAATGAAAAAATTTAGCAGTAAGCTACAAAATAAATTAACAAGATGCTGCTGCTAAGTACCATCAAGTTTGCTCCAAGTCAAACCCTACACATGGTTCCCAAGGCTTTGCAAATCCTCTTCTTTCTCCTGCAGAGTGGCTGATGGGCTCCAACCATTGACCTATGGTACGCAGTCAAGAGCTTACTCTAAGGAACCACAGCACTTACAAGATACTTAAACACATACGAGCAGAACACAAGTAAATTGGGCACAACGGTTAGCAAGAAAAGCAATTACCTCCAAAAGAATCCAATATACATTTAAATTAAACTTTAATAAATAATATATATGATGCGGTTTCAAAAAGTTTGTGGAAAAATCCTATTATCTTTCATTTTCATTTTTTCACTAGCTTTCTGAAGCCTCCTTATAAACTTCAGCTATAACATAATCTAAAACTTAAGATTCCAAAGACAGAAGCAGAAATATTTACAAAATCTGAATATGAGTATTCTTACCGGTAGAAACTGATCTGTTCGAAACTCAAAATCATCAACAGGTGAAGAGCAGTTAAGGAATACTGGGACCTAATACATTAGCTTTATCAGGATGAAGTATATATATACAATATACATATACAATGAACTAATCAAAAATATTTTAAATATCTCAAATTAATTTCACAAAATAATTCACAAATTTAAAGTACTGTTAACACTTTAATGTATTTTTAAACTTCTTAAAGGATATTTAACTTCAGAGTTGTGGCTGTTTCAATACGAACCTAAAAGAAAGCATAGCATACATTTGTGATCATTCTAGAACAAAAGGAAAAAAACTTTATCCAAATCATTTTTTCACTCTTACATTAACATTAAAGTCATAGATCATGTTAATATCCATAAATACAGGATATTCCCCTTATTTTGCAACAAGGGCTAAAAAAGAAGGGATCAAGTAGTATCTGTTGTTGTTAAGTGCCATCGAGTCAGTTCCAACTCATAGGGTCCATGTATATGGTATCTGAGGAGTGGCTAGTGAGTCCAAACTGACACCCTTAAGGTTCAAACCGACCTTGAGGTCCAGGGCTTATCCTATGGCACCACACAAGAATCCCATAGTCCCACCCTTTACTCTTTCACAGGATTTGCTTAAACCAAATACCAAAAACACTGCCACTGAGTCTATTTTAACGTGTAACAACCATTTATGGGGTTCTCAGACTGGAACAGTCTGTCTCATCTTTCTTCCGCATAGCTAGTTACTGGGGGGTTTGAACCACTGACCTGTGGTTAGCATTCCAGTACTTATCCTACAGTGCCACCATGCTCCTCCTTATAGAATTTTCTTAAGGAGCCTTTAATCTAGTGGCTTCCAGGAAGAAAAAAGAAATTGTGTGTGAAGATAGTGGAACAAAAAGAGATACTATCAGAGGGAAACGGAAAGTTGAGAAACAGGAAAGAAGGGTGGGTTTGGTAAAGCTAGAATATGTATAAGTCAAAGGTGAGGGAAGCATAAAACAAGAAGAATGGAAGAGGGAAAGAGAGAAATAGGCTAAATTCTCACCACAACCTAAATTATAGCAAATCTTTGAACTATTCAAAAGCTATTTACTGAGATTTTCCTAAGTCCCCAAGTTCTTATATTCAGAAATACAGGTTGCTACGGAGTCCTGGTGTGTGGCGCTGTGGGTTAATGTGCCAGACTGCAAAGCCATTTGAACTGCAAGGTCGGCAGTTTAAGTTCACCAGCCACTCCTCGGAAACCCTATACAGGGTCACTATGGGTCGGAACCGACTCAAATGCACATCACAACAGTATTGTGTGTATATATATATATATATGGAACTCTGGTTCTGTAGTGGTTACAAATCAGGCTGCAAACCTCAAGGTCAGCAGTTTGAAACTACCAGCTGTTCCAGGGTAGAAAGATGAGGCTTTCTGCTCCCTTGAAGATTTACAGCCTCAGAAACCCTGTACGGGGTCACTAGGAGTCGGAACTGACTCCACGGCACATAATAAGCACCACCACCATATTGTATATACTTGTACAATCAGCAAGGTACCTTTGCAAATCATATCATCTTAATGTCCTTATAATCTTTCAAGTTTTATTCTTCAGTTGATCAACCATTTTGGCACAAGGTAATACACTTACAGTTTCGACATTAAAAACATGAACCCAAGCCAAAACTAAATTCTAAAGTCTACTCTTTAAAATAGATCCTGCTTTGGATCCATTACTTTCAGATGCTACTCTGCCTGTATCTATAATAGCAATTATTTGTTCTTTACCACTATTTTAAACAAGGAAACAAAGTTTTCACCATTTTATAAGTGCTTCAAAGGTCTTCAGATGTCAATAAGACAAATTCACCAAATGTTAAATACTCTGCTGCCAAATCCCCACTTAAAAAATCACCATCAGTGACAGGCCACAAATATAGTAAAGAAAGATCTAAACCATTACTGAACTTCAAATTTAACAAAGGATCAACTTTAAAAGATAATCTCCTTTAAGAAATTTAAGCAACATACCACTAAATCTTGATCTTGAAGCAAGTTACAAATGGCCTCATATAGCACTGGTCTTAAGTCAGACTTGAATTTCACAGAAATCCACTGACCGATGAGCCAGATCACCCTGCGTCGCAATGGTTTATACCTAAAGAAAAATAATGAAAATAAAATGTTAAATATTTTAAGAAGCCTATTTCATCTACTGCTTTTCATCATTATAAATCTAACAGCAGTAAGTCAATGTGCATTTATTATATAAAAGTAAAAGTTATGAGGAAAAAACAAGACGGCAGATAGGGTAGAAGTGTAATGAGGAGCTCTGTCAGCAACAACACAGAATACCAGACCAAGCAGGCTCAGGGGACGGTGCAAGAACTCTGAACTGCATCGCACATAAAGGAACATCTAGAAAGTTAGAAGGCTTACAGCCAGTGGAATTTGTAGTAGAAGCAAGAAATCCAGTGCTTTCTGATTCAAGGCGCTCAGCTGCTCCCTGAGCGGCCATCTTGGGCAAGACCAAACAGGGGAAGGATCAGAGCAGCCACAGATGCCTGACAGAACCGCAGAGATTAAGGAAGAAGAGTGAAAAGGGAAGTCAATCTCCTGATCACATCTACCTGGAAATAATCAGAAAGCATAAAAAATACCAAAACACACACCCATCTACATATTAAGGCCACAGCTAACTACTGAATATTCCCAGAAAACAGAAACAGATGACGATATCAGCACATGTCCAGAAACGAGATAAAGTGACTGAGACAAATGAGCTGAAGGCAGACCTACACTCTATACTGGAAGGAGGGCACATCTTGGAAATGTCTGAGAAGGAATTCAGAAAAATGATTATAAAATGTATCAAAACTCTATACAATGGAGTTGAGATAAAATAAGGAAGAAGTCAGGAGGCGCTACAGGAAAAATCATATAAGAGAGATACAGCATTGGAAACCATTCAAAACCTACAGAAAGAGGTCCAAATGATCAATAACAGAATATCACAAATGGACAATACACTGAAAGGGAAGAGGAGCAGAATTGAAGAGATGGAAACCAGAACTAGTGAGCTAGAAGATAACTCTCTCAATAATACTAAAATAGAAGAACAAACAGAAAAAAAGGATTAAAAAAATCGGAAGAAGGTCTAAGATTCATGTGGGACAACATGAAGAGGAGTAACTTAAGAATTATCTTCATTCCAGAACAGAAAGAATCATGCAAGTCCATAAAGGAAATAGCTGAAGAGCTGCTGGAAGAAAATTTCCCTAACATCTTGAAAAGTGAAAAGATAAGCATTCAAAAAGCTCAAAAAACCCCCAGAAGGGTAGCTCCTACAAGAAAATCACCAAGACAATAATCAAGCTCTCCAAAATCAAAGGACAGAATCCTGAAAGCAGCTAGGGAAAAGAGAAGTGTAACATACAGAGGGAAGCAAGGAACTCTCAGCAGAAACCATGCAGGCAAGTAGGCAATGAGGAGACATATATAAAACCCTGAAAGAACAAAAACTGCCAACCAAGAATCCTCTACCCAGCAAAGCTGTCAATTAAATTAGATGGTGTAATCAAAACATTCCAGGATTAACAGAAGCTAAGGGATTTTGCCAAAGCCAACCCTGCTATGAAAAACATCCTAAAGGGAGTTCTGTGGACCGAAAACCAACAATAACAGACAAAAACCAGAGACAGACGTACGTGGCAACGTAACCCTGAACTCAATCGACAAATGGAAGAGTCAAGAGCAGAATAAAACTGTAAGAACAAATTCAGAGGATCTGGGAGATCAGTCTATGATCAAAACAATTACATTGTGAAAGTAAACACAGAGGAACAGACATCCAGGTGGTGAGAAGGTCAGGTAGATTACAGGATAAAATAGACTGTCTTAAATGGAGGAAAGAGTTAATGGAATATAAGGTAACCACAACAGTGAGGTTGGGGTGGGGAGTTTAGGGGGAAGAGGAGGGAGCTGGTGGTAGAGCACAGGGTAAGGGCAGACACATCATAGTTCAGGTGATGGGGAGTGCAATCCAAGAAGGGGGAGGAGGTGGAAGAACAAGGTTGATAGGGGAACACTGAGACAGGTTTGCATGGCCTAAGTGGGACAGAAGTAAATAGTGATGCATGCTCAACCTTGGAACAACAGGGCTCTGTGATACAGGGATCTAGACATAGTTTGAAGAGAGGAAATAATACTAAAATGCTTACCTGTCTTATGAATATTGGTTTCCCTTGCCTACTATTGTAAAATAGGCTCTTGAGTGGGACAGAAAGAAATGTCAGGAAACATGATTACAGACAACTTGGAAGCCTGTCTTCAGTGTATAACTGACTAGAATACCTAAAAAGGGGTTCTAAAACTTGCTCAGTGAAGTAGGACTCTTGTGGAGTCTTTGCAGAGTATAGGACCTTAGGCAGACTCCTGAGTCCCATCCAGAACCTTGTAAAGTGGGATATTCCCACTAGAAAGGAAAAGCAGACCAGCCTTGAATAGTTAGAGCAACAGAAGATACATCCTCAAAGAAAGATTATCAGGAAAAACCCAAAACAAAAATGTCAGCATAAATGGCTACTACAAGAATAAGCAAGCAGTTCACAGGGAAGCTGACCAGTGGAGCTAGAGAGCAGTGTTTACATTCTGCTCTGCATAAGGTCACTTTGAGTCAGTACAGATTCTATGGCACGTAACAACAAATTTATTTCTATACTAGCCACTGCTTTCTAGTCCTAATAAAACAAGTGCTTTTAAGTGCCATCAAGTTGGTTCTGACGCATAGTGACCCTGCAGGGTTTCTGAGGAGTGGATGGTGAGTTTGAAATGACCTTGTGGTTCCAACCTACCTTGCAGTCCAGTACTGATATTAGAGCACTACACTAGGCCTTTAATAAAACTGTAAGTAATTATACAATGCTTTCTTGTCTTCCTTAGAAAATTCAGAAGGTAAAATAACTATATAATAAAACAAAATGTTATACTTACCTACTGTGAATGACCTGTAATTCTGGAAGAAGCTGGTTTTTAAACCACTGATCAAAATCAACACTGTCAAACAGTTCATAAGCAGCTAACCCCACAGCATTATACACTTCGGAAAAAGAAAGAGAAAAAAAAAAAAAAATTAGATATTGGACTTTTAAATAATTATGATATTTTATAAATACAAATGTATTTATACATACAAATACATAAATATAAAAGCTAAATGTCCTTATGTAAAAAGCTAAGCATTGGGAACTATTTTCTAACATGCAATGCAATACTTTATTCAAGGAAGCTATTTAAATAGACATCTTAAAATTATTTAAGCAATTTTACTGTTTTTCTTAAAGACTCCTTCTAGTACATTCAGAGAAAATAAAATTATTTTTAACATATTTAAGTCAAATTATAAATTATTAGGTTCCACATGGTTGTAAATATTTTATGATCTGGTCCCAGCTTATCTCTCTGAAGTTTTCTCTTACCATCATTCCATAACACCTTAACCTCTCCCTCTATTTTCCAGTTAAATCAAAGTACTCAAAAGTTAGCTATGCTTACTCCTCTTATCATCAAGTCTTTGTACACACGACTTCTGCCTGTAACCTTCTTCCTGCATAGCTAACTCCTCCACAGCCTGTGTTCTCACATTAGTCTTCTCTATGAACCTTTTCCTTAGCACATCAAAATCACCTTGTATTTGTGCACAGCACTACCTGATTACTACCTATTTTAGCATTAACCATCCTGTTCTATGCACAAATTTTCTGCTTACTTAATTATCTTCCCCATCAGATTATTTCTGTATTTTGGCTAAACTTGTATCCCGATTCTGCAAGCACAATACTTGTCCACAAAAGACATTCTATTCAAGAAAAAAATGTTTCTAAATCACTCAAATTTAACATACCAGCCTCTTTGATTAATAGTGCATT